AGCAGGGACCAGCCGAATCCTTGTTCGGATCAAGCTAGTTAAGGCGTAACTGCCTTCAATTGAACACGACATAACCTGACCCAGCCTGACCTAATGTGACCTAATCTGACCTAACCTGACCTAATCTGACCTAACCTGAATTAACTTCACCCAACCTGACACAACCTGACCCAACCTGACTCAAGTTGACTCAACCTGACCCAACCTGCCACAACTAGACACAACCTGACCTAACCTGAAATAACCTGCCCTAACCTCACACAGAAACAACTGAACACACATAACTGTAACTATTACAGCCACTGCACGAGTGTAAAATAAACATATTTATCGAGTTTAATGGAGCGAAATTTAAAAAACTTCATATGTGAAAGTTGAAGGTTAAGAGGAAATTAACTAATTCAAAAACGAATAAACCCGCATACCTGAAGTTATTACAGCCGCTACGCAGATGTAAAATTAATATATTAATCGAGATTAGTGAAAGCCGAATTTCTTTTGTGACATTTATCGATTAATTAATTCAGAGGCGGCAAAGCACGCATACTTTAGCGATGTCTATAAAAATATTGCTTTTGGGGTTGTCTAAATGAATCTTAAATAGCAGTCATCATTTACATCGGCTTTCCTAGATATTTAAGATTCATCGCTAGCTCGACCAAAATGTGATGTCCGAAGTAAAAATTTTGTTAGATTTTGAAATAAGAAATATGCGTACCTGTTGATAAGTTCCCGAAAGTATGGTTGACAACACATGGTGAACACAAGCGCCAAGTCCAATGATGACTTTAACATTTCTCGCTAGAAAGTCCAGCTTCATTTTGAAAGTAAAACAAATTGAAAGTGTCTATGTTTTGCTAAACTAAATTTTATTTTTAGTGCAAAATAAATCTGGTACTAATAATATGTTTTTATTGAATTGACAAATGAAATTTCATAAATCGCAAAAATGGATCGCTGACCGCAAGGCGAAGTGCCGTAGCGAGACAGAGAAGTCGTTGTTGCTCGTCCTGCAGCTCCTAATGAACTAAAGGTGTCAGACCGCCCACAATTCTAGGCAAATGGCATCCCATTTGAAATTTTTTAACATAAATCATTTTCACCTCATCGAACAAAGCACTCACTGGAAGCATATTCAAATTCACGGATGTTAGCGTTCCAGGTGTTTCATAAGTTGCCGATACGCTAGAATTCCCATCCCTCTAATTATACCATGTCATGCATTTACAGCTCATTTAGTTGCAGAGCATTGCAGTTGCAAAGCATTTAGATAGAACGTAACTTCATACGAGCTAATGCAGGCTCATGAATGAATAATGTTTGCTTGAACTCATCTAACTTTTCTCATGAACAATCGCATGAATTATAAGGCCTTATTGCGAGGCAAAAATGTTGCATGTTCATCGAAAATCGAACATTTTATTAACGTTTCGGACGCACTTTTAATACGTACAGTGCATTTCGAATCATTGTTAGTTTTCACTTTGGCTTCATTTTAATTCAGTACTTGAAGCAGCACTACCCTCCGGCACATTTTTCTTGTATATACACGTTATTTTCATTCATGTACATTATTTTCATTCCTAGAATCCTTATCTATGTGTGTCAGTTTCAATATCATACTTGAGAATTAGCATCTGCATGAATGAAACGTATCATCATCATGGCAGATGCATCCTCAAGCACTCGTAGAAGTTCAGTCTAAATTTATGCACTTTTTCTGATAAGTTAGGATTAGATGGCAGAATAATTAAGCTTGTCTCAGGTGGAAGGATAAACGGAGGCTCATTCTCGTAGGTGTTACTCCAATTACTCTAAAGTAATCCAAATAATGAAGAAGTCTACGACCTTCTTTGAAGAAAAAAATTTAGTTGTTGCCCCGCTGGATGCCAAAGCACCTGTTGAATTCATCGTGGATCTTGAGATGAAGTTGCACTATTGAAATACCTTGAAACAGTTCGAAATAGATTTCAAAGTTTTTAAATTTCATATTTTTTAGTTAAATGTTATTTTGTGTAATTTTTATCGGAGTTAATCAATTAGAGAAAATGACAAGAATTTCAACAATCGTTGGTCGGTTAATGATATACATTTCTGCATGATAACGATGCTGGTGGGTTCCTCCAGCACAGTGAGAGCGACGGTCTTGTGAGTTTGTCTCGGGGGCTTCGCTGCCATCCAGAATGAAGGTGGCAAGTGAGACGGTTTCGATGTCGTGGTTGTTACGGTAGTCCAATTGCTCCAATGTAGTCCAAATGATGAAGAAGTCTATAACCTTCTTTAATGCAAAATTTACAGATTACACCGGCCTATTGGAGAACTCCTTTTATGCAGTGGTCATTGCTGCATATAGTCCGGAGTTTGACATTGTCATGGGTTTCACGAGGCCTGTATAATTCATCGATAATCTTGTGGTGAAGTTCCTCGATTTTAACTCTTTGAGAAGAATAGATGTTTTTTTCTGATAAATACATCTGGTGCTTCAATATTAAGAGCTCTCAGAGCATCCCAGGGAAATGACGTCTAAAAAATTGAACAGCGCTTTCTACTTTGAATCTCGAGACGAATAAATAAGCAAATACAAAAAATACCTAGACTGCATAATCCTCCAAAAAGTCTTATCGCGAGAAGACAGCTTTCGAAGCGTTGTACAGCAGCGGCATAAGGCAATCTAGAAGGACTTGAACTCTGGAAGTTTGGCCATACGGAGGCTCTCGCCTGACCACTCCTCCGTGAGGGTATCTATGCTACGCGGCCTGGGCGCGGTAGATCCTGACTAATAATTAAGTGAGCTATTACATCTCATGAATAATTTGAAATGAATGAGTTAGAAATAGCTCCGATCCAATTTAGAGTATTAAAAGCTTTATATGTTACTATTTTGGCGTTATATAAACAGTACCCGCATTGTTTATCAAAGGGTAAAATTACTACTTGCTTCATCCTGAGTTTATGTTGGCCATATTACATATTATTTGAAGTAAATGAACTTATGCCGCTAATGTAAACGAATACTGTTATCATGTCAACAGACTCGGGTACATTTACTTCTCGTTTAAGAGGCTGTACTTAAGTGTTAGTATAATAAGGAGTGAATAACCTTAAATTTCATACGGATAGGAGCTTAGGAAGAGTTTAATTAATGATGGATTTTCGTGTTTAGGTTAGGTAAACATTCCTATTGTTTCATCTCATTTATATGTGGAAGAAATTATAAGGAAATCATGCATACATAAAAAGTTAATTTTTTATATTTATGGGAGAATACCTCGAAGAAAGCGAAAAAACTCGAATTGCAAATGCAGTGACATTCAAATCTCAAATGCTCTAGAGCGAACTGAAGATAAAGAAAAATGGGTTTACCAAAAAATGAATCCCCACGCCTAAGACATATTTTTACTTAGTTAAATAATTTAAAAAAAGGTTTCCAGTTATAGCGTTGCAAGATTGGAATAAAATTGCATTTCCAAGGCTAACCTGAATCAACAAACATTTTATTCAACAGCCACAATACGCAGGCAAACTGGTACAGGTTGACACGCAAGGATTACCTATAAATGCGGATGTTATACCCTAAAGTCACAAAGAAACAATTCTGCAATTTAAATGCACACAATGATAGGCCTATATCAATTTATTATTATAATGGATTAAGACAACTTAGAATTTTGTAGTTAATATCAAATATGACGTATTTCGATTACTAACACGATAAATTATGCCGTTGGCTCAGCTGTGAAGTGACACTTTTTATAGCCGTTTGGAGATATAAATGGTGATAAATGGTGCAATTGCACAAGAAATGTCAGTAAATTAAGTAATGGCCGGGGACCATACTTTCAAAAAAAAGTTAAGAGATCGTAAGTTCATCATCCAATCATTCGCGGCCTTTCAAGCAAAATCCGCCAATCTTAGGCAAGAAGATAGAGCGTAAGTACTTACGTTCACTTAGCGAGTTTTGAAAGTATGGCCCCGGCTCAACTTGTCTAAGTTAGTCAGGTAAAGATAAAGCGCAATAACGCAAAAATTAAACAGATAGCCGTCAATTGCGCCAAAATTATTCAAAACGTCAGGCAGATTTTCTATGTTCGGCCAAACCAAAGCGGTGACTGCACTGCAGGATTATAGGTTTGTGATAATTATTAAATTCATGTGTAATAATATGAAACTGCATTGAAGTAGCAGTAATTAATGCCGCTGCCTAGAATATAATAGCCATTTCCAGATAAACAATAACTCCAAAGAACCTGCTATATTGCTTCGCCTTTCTCTTCGAAATCAAACATGAATCTAAACTAATTCTTCTTGGTCTCCCTTACATTCAAACAACACAAAATTTCTCATAAAACCCAATTGAGCAACTACACAAATAGAACGTTGCCTTTTCTCGTGGAAACAAAGCATAATTGAGATAAATTTCGGTTTGCTTCTCTTGTGAGAGTAAATAGTTTAAACACTATATAAATGTCAGTATGAGTTGCCCTTAATACAGAGAAGTAACCTGTCATTATTATGCAGTTACATCGTATACAAAAGCGTGTGGAATGTGCAATCTGCATGGACACTAAATCAGTATTAGAAAATGTTTGCAAAATTGGCAAATATTAGCAGCAAAATTGATATACTTCTCACATAATTATCATATTTTTACCTTTTGTTTAATTCCTCACGGGTTTAAAACAGTGATCATGCTGTATCGAAATGCTGCGCTCTATGGCTGTTCAAAATTTATATGAATCTAATGAATGATTTGCACAAGGCATCGCTGATACCGGAACAACTTGACTTCAACTGATCATAGCGGGCTAGACTATGAAAGAATTATTATCCTCACTTCTCCTAGGTCGGCAATTCATTTATATATAAAGTTTCTTTCCTCTCCTTAAGTAATGAAACAGTGCATCATTGCATTGAATTAATTATTGATACCGGTAGCAGCACGCGTGACGTAAATTCTGGTGCATGCAACGAGAGAAATGATGAGCAATGATTGCGGTGCTTCAGAGGAAGGCTTGCACTTTGCAGAAGCAGATGGCCGCTATCCCGGCCTCGTACTGCAGCCGAATGTAGCGGACGTTCCCTGAGGCGACTGAAATGAGAAATGAGTGAATGTTAAATGTTAAAAATAAGTCACACATAGCGCGTGAAAAACATTGATTCTTTTTATAACATTCAGCTTACTTGTTTAGGTCAAACAGCACGTTCATCTTGAGCGGAGACGGGATATAGTGGTTTATTCGTATGAGTGATGCATGAGATGCAATATTGCGACAAGGCTAAAGAATGATGCATTAGTTTCGCTCAGTGGTCTGATTAAAATCCTGTCACTCACATAAACGAAATCATAATTCACCAAGTCGTCTATGTAATAAGTTTTGATGCCATCTAATTTTATGAGTAAAGGTGCAAATGTCACGCTCTGAGTTGAAGCAATTAAGCGCGCACACTTCGTTGGATTGAACCATAAGTGCACCAAGTCGTCGGGGTGAAGGTCTAAGAATCTCTAAGTCATCAAAGTGAAGGCATATATAAGTATCATTAAGTTGTCAGAGTGAAGGCATTAGTATCTCTAAAAGTCGTCGGGGTGAAGATAAAAGTATCTCTCAGTCGTCGAAAGTGAAGGCATAAGTATCATTAAGTCGACGGAGTGAAGGAATAAATGCCATTACGTCGTCAGAGTGACGGTGTAACGGTAAAGTATGCTACGGTGTAATGGTCTCACTCATGAGTAAGGACGCTATACATTCCCAGTAAATTGTCCGTGAAAGGCATGAGTGTCCCCAGGGTTGAGAAAAGGCGTAACTCACTGGTCATGGTGTACGTTTGAAAGTTGGGTGATGGAGTTGAGGGTGTTGTGCCGATGATGGGGTCGGTCACAAGACCGGTGTTTCCAGCCTGTAACCAGTGATTGATGAATTAATTATCATTGAATCTACTCTGACAAGAATTATAATGGAATTTTTCATTCGCTGAAATAAATTAATGCTCCTTATTGTCCAAGTAGTGGTACACTCAGCACGTAGCACTGATACGCCCTTTTACCGAACTAAACTGGGTGAGGATAACCCACAGAAGGGTAAAAAGTGCATTACTATTTGGATAAAATTTCGCTCAATTCTCTGAGTGTACCGAAATATAAATCATGAAAGTAAAGTTAGTTTTCATCTATACAAGTTAAATCAATACGAGATTGCGCTGCAGACAACTTCTGGCTTATTTCACGTCACGACACAATCGAGTTTATAGATGGAATAGAAGTTAGTGCGACATCAAACTGAATATAATTCTCTTTTATCTGCATTACATGCGTAATTTAAAGTAGATTTTATTTATATCAGAGAATATGAATAATATGTAAATTGGTGTTCATGTACAGTTTTACATTATTTCGTTATTGCGATAGCTCAACATAAGATGTTCAGTTGAGCTTGTAAAAGAACTTGGACTTACAAAATGAATTTAATATAAATTTACAACTTCACAGCAAATTCATTGATTCCATTTTGTTTTATGACAGTGTTCGTGATCAGGGATTTTTAAAATTCATGTGACCTTCAGATTGAGATTGAGTTCAGATTGATGTGAGCTTCAGATATTGATAAGTTGATATAAGTTAATATAAGCAAGTATAAAGTATAAGTTAATATAAGCACTCATGTATGAGTTAATCGGAACCATCGCCCGCAAGCTGGTCTCCCTATTTTGAACGCGTAGTGATGAAGTATGCTTTTAATAATATTTGGAGGACTATATTATATTTTAATATCAGTAGCTGAAAACAGTAGCTTTAATATTAGTATCTGATTTTATAGTTGAAAAATTTTATAGGTAATTTTCAGGGTGCATTATAACATGGCACTTGCAAGTGAAGACATGACACAAACAAACATGGTAGGTAATTAAAAACTTTCGATAATTAAAAACTTCTGCAAAATCTCGTTTAATTTATGCATGATTAACAATTACAGGTGTTCACAACGAATTTTTGATCATGCAATTAAACTAGGCGGATTTTAATTAAATCATTGCATTGTTCCGATTGCCATTATATTGCGAATTGATTAGGCCAGGTTATGTCGGGATGCATGGCTCCAGGGCTGATTTGAGCGTTAATTTGCTGGTCTACGGCAGCGCACCCGTTATGTCAAGTTGTGCAAAATTGTTCAAATATTGACACACTTTTTTACCCAAAGCACAAGCAACGAACGGACGTAGCACTGATACCTCCCTATTGCCGGGCTAAACTGGGTAAAGATGATCAGAAATGCAGAAATTGCATATTTAGTACGATGCAGTCTGTCTCATTGCCCTGGTAACGCTCTCACCCGAACAACGACGTCCAAGAAGAAGTTGACGCCTCGGTCGGTAGGTCCAGTGATGACCACCTTCCTGATGGGGAGGCTGGCCTGTAGGTCCACCACCACCCAATTGTCGTTGTTGAGGCTGCAGAAGCAATCTTCAAACTTGTTGTAGCAAGTCGTACCGGCTGTCTGCAATAGTACAATAACTCGTCGTTCCTGCTGTCTGAAATAGTACAATAACTTGTCGTTCCGGCTGTCTGCAATAGTACAATAACTCGTCGCTGAGGATCAAAAAAAATCCTGGAGTTTTCGCTGACTATAAGAAAATTCTGCTGATTTAGTTGAGGATCAGGAAGTTCCTTGGGGTTTTCGTTGTGGATAAAAAAGTTAATGCGATTTTGCGTTGGAAATTAGGAAATTCTTTCGTTTTTCGTTGGGGTCCGGGAAGTTTCTGGGGTTTAGCTGATAGAAAGTCAGTCGGTTGGGCAAAACACAATCATTACGCAATTATTTATTAGTCGATCAATGGTTAGTGGAAGTATTAGTTGTGAGTATTAGTGAAACAATGGTCACTAATACTCACTCATTTTATTTTATGAGCAAGGCTAACGGGATCGATCCACTGCATGAGACGACCGCACGGTTGACGGAATGCCGTTGACAGAAAATCGATGTTCACACAAATTGGCTAGGCACGCAGTAAAACATTGCTCATAATGAGGTTCACATCTGACAGTCTTTCTTTGCACAGCTCAATGCGACAATAATTTATTTCTAAAGAGAGGCCCTCTTGAAATAATTTTTTGTTACGAAAAACTTTAAGATTGATCCAAAAGGTTTTTCGATTTCAGCTCTCAATGCCAATAAGGCGATATGCAACAAACAAACATTTCCGAACGTTTTTCTAGCGTTGTACTGTATAAAAAAATGGGAAGAAACGTCACAAACTTCATTGATATGACAGTACTAATACTTTTTAACCAATTTTTCCAAAGCGAAATACTTTAACAACATCTTACTTCAAATCTCAGAGCTTACTTTTAAACTACATCATTCCGTTGTAAAATTTTTCGGCTATTAAAAAATTTTCCCCACCAGCGAAGTTTCAGGAGCAAATCCTGGGTATGCTCCTGGCGAGGACACGGGCTTCCCCATAGCGACGTCGATGACCGTAACGGGCGCCGTGCGTTTTGGCCAATACGCCACAACGGTGGGCCCTGGCATCGTCACCGCCTCGTAACTCGGGTCAGTTTGGAATGACCACACGGAACATACGTCACCTGTTGAGAAACGTTTGCTATGGTCAAGTTAAGTTATAGTTTAGGGTTTTCCAAAAAGTATAATTTTTCCTGGTATTTTTTAATATAAACAAAAAAGATTGCTCATGAATTTGTAAAATCTAAAGACATGAGGGCATTCTATTCATTTTCACCAATGCCAGTAATGTAGCATTGCTGCGAACGTAATAAAGATAACATGAAACGTGTCTACAAAAAATAATAATGGTGAGTTAGGTCTAGGTAAATCTCGTAATAATGTTTTTCCTGCTGTCTAAAAATGGCACGCATCAATTTAGGACAATACCTAGGATACCTAGGATAATACCTATACCTATATGTCGAGTGAATGATGTATGAAAAAAAATAAAGCACATCCCGAACTTTTATTTGTGTGCTTACATCACAATGTCTTGAATGTCCTTTGGATGCAAATGTACTTGAAACACATGTCACACATTACTTACGATGTGATACAATGATGTTGTGTGATACAATGATCACACAACACAATAAGATGTCGAATAATATATTTATCCAAATGAACAGAAGATTTTCAAAGTAAACAACCACGCACGAGTATAATTTTTTCAACTTACCAGCGATGGAGAAGATGGTACACGGAGGATTCCGGATGCAGAAGCTGTAGCAGAGGATGGTGTTGTGGATCTTCAGTTGAGGCTGCAGGGGAAATACGGCGGGCTGACAGACATTGCGGTACCAGGGCTCGTCAGCGAGGGCGAACTGCGATAAAATAAATTACAGGAAGCAAATTTTCTGTGATGAATTTCGAGCCTAGGTTGAGACTTATTTTAATAATTAGAATTTTTAAATATTATCTAATGTGTGTAGCGTGTCCTTATTAAATGTGGACCCTTTATTTTGCTGCTGAATAAGATTAAGATCACTCAGCAAGTTTTTGAAGTTGATGTTGGTTTGGGTAAAGCAATATTCCTATTTTTGATTTTACAATAAACAATAGTAGCTTAGTAGCTAGAAATATAAGTAGCTTTTGTCTACAGATGCAATAACCATCGTCAAAGCTAATCGTATCCAATGGTCTGGTAACGAGCTTTACCGTCAGTAAACAAATCATTAAAATTTGCTGACCTTCTGGAAAGTTCCGGTGGGCATGGTTGACAGTACATGATGAAACAAAAAAAGTACGGAAGCCAAGACTTGAGACGTGATTACTTGAAACATAATTTTCATCTTAAACATACAACAAACAAATTATATTTTTCCTGCTCAAAGTCGAACAAATTTTTCATTAAGTTTCAGGGCTGAACTGGACCGCTGATCATTCCAGGATGCGCTGAACTGGACCACATTATTACTGAAGAAGTCGCTGAACTGGACCGCTGATCACTCCAGGATGCGCTGAACTGGACCGCTGATTACTCCAGAATGCGCGGAACTGGACCGCTGATCACTCCAGGAGGCGGTGTACTGGACCACTGATCACTCCAGGAGGCGGTTTCCTGGACCGAAGATCACTCCGGGGGGCGATGAATTGGACCGCTGATCCCTGAAGAAGGCGCTGTGCTGGACCGCTGATCACTCCAGGAGGCACCCCAGACATTTGTTCGGACGCCTTACTGAGGTGAACTGGTCATGCCCGCCGACCTCGAGCGTTTCAAGGCGGAATGCGCCTAGTCCAGAATTCTTAAGTTTAATTATTTTCTAACTTCATCGAACAATGCTTCCATCGTGTGATTACTCGACATCACGAATGTCAAACTTTAAGTAAAAAGTGAGGCTGCCGTTGTGGTATAAAAGTATTCACCGCACTCGCATCAATTAAAAAGAACGTTGCAGTTCGGAACCAACAAATCAAAAATCATTTCTGTCCATGAAGAATAAAAAATTTTGACGTGAGCAATTTAACTGAAGTTATGAACTAGCTTTAAAAGTTTGCGGTTGAGATTAGTCTAAAATAATAAAACTGCGGCTAGTGAATTCGAATTTTTTATTACATTGTTAACGCAATTTTGTTCACTCACGGTTAAATATCGTTATTAGCAATACATTAACCCAATATTAATTAAATGTTTGAAATCATATATCTATTTGTTCGATGATTGTTGGTACTTCGTTAAACCTCTGTGAAAGTTTCTGGGATGTTGATGCCGAATTTTTCTTCGATTCTTCATCAAAGAAAAATAGTTTTCTTTTATAGAAAAAAATTTCAGATGAAAAATTTATTTATTAATTTATTTTTTTATTTATTTAAAAGATTAGATGATCGATAAACAATCATATACAGAAAACTTCGGCAGAAGTTAAGAATACGTTATCAGAAATTTTAATTCATCTGTATAATTCATTTATACCAACGAGCGTAACAAATGGCGTTCCGAGTACTATAGTAGAATAAGAATATATTTCTTTCGTTATATTGTTGTTTTATACTTCGTCGGTGAGAATTTTGTGCCGGAAATTGCAAAAATTACGAATCGGGATTTCTGACGAAGGTTGCACCGTGGCGCGGACGGATCAATAGTGTCAGTGTTAATTTACGTAGCTCATTAGTAGAAGATACCAGCGGGGCTCGCTGAAAAGAAGGTAGTACGCCATCCATACTCTCCGCAACTCATTTCGTCTGGATATGCATCCTCGAATGAAATGAAATTATTATTATTTAAGATCGAATCGAATGGTGAGGTTGTAAGCAAGAATTTTAAGAACCATTATCAATACATTATTGTGCGTGAATGAGTATAGCTGAACGATGAGGATGCACAAGTTATGTCGAAGCAAGTGTACAGTACATATGGCGTACATAATAATAACGTGACTTATGATAATAATAAAGTGACCTCTGAGGCGGTTTATGACCTTGACCTGAAGAATTCAAAAGACAACATCAGGTTGAACCAACGTTTGTCAGCACGCAATGTATCAAATGCATTGCTTGCAAGGGCATTGTGCATACATTGTTTTCGATCCATAATAGGCCTGTCTAGTAAGGAGGAAAGTGTCTTAGTATATAAGGAGACTTTGGCACTTGGATTTTTTTCTCGGAACGTTCGGCAAGTTTATACTCAGGAATGTTCGCGGAGAGGCAGGTGCTATACTGCTTGGAATTTATTGCTGATCTACCAAGTTCGGTTGACTGAGAAAGAGCAACGAAGTTCAATTGAATTTATGGAAGCAACCGAGTGTGGTTGAATTATGACAACATTCAAAATTGAATAATTGTCAGCATGATATTTCCCCAAAAAAATCGTTCGCTACAATGTATTTCGACATTTCTTCACTTGTCTGAACCTTCCGAAGCCTCTTTTTCTGAGCGTTTGCTGATTCACATTGATCCGATTTTAATTCTTCTTACAGAGGTAACAGAAGATATGATAAAACTCTGTACATAACTTCTCTTTAAAAATACTTACGAAGACTCTGACTCCAGTAGTTTATGCATGTGGAGGCTCTCGCCAAGCCGCTCGTATATAGCGCTCCTGCTGTTCGTATACCGCCCGACGGTCGCGCGCCGCTGTCTTGACGCGGCGGCGGTGGCTTAATCAACTAGCCCTGCAGTGGCAGGTCAGCGAGACGATCTCAAGCCTCCGTTATGACTACATTCAATCAAATTTAACTAATTTTAAATTGTATTTCTTCCAATAAACTACCGTGTCTTACTGCAATGAATACATAGGTGCTAGCAAATAAATTCACAGCTGTCCTGGTGCAGTGGCTTGGTCGACTCGCCCTGCACGACGATGGCGGTTTTCGACATCTGGAGGCGCAAGAGCAATGCATTCTTTTTTCATCTCTTGAATGAGTGGATGTTTAGAATTACATTATTCGTCGATCTGATTAAAACGATGATAGTTTCAAAGTTATTTATTCTGGTGATATATTTTTTTGGTTAATAAACGACAATAATATTTTAGAATTCATTGATTGGAAAAAACTTGCTTATGATGAATGAACGTCACCTATAGATTATTTGAGATATTTCTGTGTCAATGCCGAGGCATTGTAAACGCCACTTTGGCTTTCGGGCACTGGAATAAAAAACGTACAGCGCTTGTAGCTTGTAGAATTTACTTAATAAAACCGTGGACCTGCCCAGAGAGCAGGAAAACAAAATACAAAGACGAGGTTCAATATAAATTTGATAAATGACTGATCAAGAACATAAAGCAAATTGAAGCGTATAGGAATATGGTGAACAATAGGTACACGATTCAAAAGGTTTAGTAACTAAACGTAACTTACGGTGGTTTTCAAGAGGTGCTTAAACGAAACAAAATTGCGAGAGACTACAGACACGATGATAGTTCATCTGTCTAAGGCAAGGTGAATGAATTCCAAAAATACGATAGGCCTAGACGCCGCTAATCCGCCGAGTCAATGGTTGTCGGCACACTATGTCTTTGCGTTAAACTTATTCGAAATTATTATGAGCGATTAAATAATTAGAATTATATCCTAAAAATGATCGCATGAGAGCGATTAAAATTAAGGATTGTGCAGGTTAATATGAACATTTTAGCTGCTATCGTGTTAATGTAAATCAGCAGCCTAATGACGAAGAGGTTTGATATTTCTGAAATTGATTCATCTCATTCTGTTGTCGAAAAATAATATGATGTTAAACTACTTATTAGAACGAGGCTTTTGATAATTGAAACCTTGCAAAGTTGAAATGGAATAATCATGTGCTAATTAACAATAACTAGCCGTTAATTAACACGTTTATTACCGCACACGTGCTAGTTTACATTATATTATCGAAGTAAACTGTCGCGGCTATTCATGAGTCATCATAGCCGATGGCTTGCGAGCTCTGCACAAGACGAGAAGATTAAATAAAAATTGGAACCTTTTTTTACGTACAATAATGGGACGAGGGAGATAGAAAAGATAGTTTGTCTTCCTAAAATTTGTCTAAATCGAATTAATTTCATAGTAGTTTTAAACCCGTGAACAACATCGAACAAC